CGTAGATCCGGGCTAGTCAATTTAGAAACAATGAGCGTAAAAAATGAGTTTTTGATGGAAGATTATTTAGAGGGATTAATCTTAACCAAGTTGTAGTATATGTTACAAGGGTTCCGTACATATAAAGAACGCCGAAATCCGACTTATAACAAAGAAGTTATAACCTGTCGAAGTTTTACGACAAAACCGGCACGGCACCGGGAGACGTAAATAGTGAATTTATGATAGATGACTTTTTAGCCTTAGTGATCTAAACAAAAGTTGTAGTATACGTTAAACCGAGAACATACAAAAAAAGAACGTCCAAATCTGACTTCGTATGAGGAAGTTATGAATTTTCTAAGATTTGGCATAGCAGTGCACGGCCCGAAACTCGAATTTTAGAGAGACTACTGAGAAGATAGTACAAATCCGCACTCTCACTGGTCCGGAGATCAAGTTCCAAGCAACACTCTCACTGGTCCGGAGATCATTCGAGAGACTACTGAGAAGATAGTACAAATCCGCGAAAGACTTAAAGTTTCCAGAGACAGACAGAAAAGCTACGCAGACAAAAGACGAAAACCCTTGGAATTCTAGGTTGGTGACCGTGTCATGTTGAAGTTCTTACCCTGGAAGGGCATGATACGCTTCAGAAAGCGTGGAAAACTAAACCCAAGGTACATAGGACCATTCGAGATTCTTGCTAGAATCGGCTAGTAGCTTACAAACTCAAATTACCTCAAAAACTCAATAACATACACCCTACCTTTCGTGTTTCTAACTTAAAGAAGTGCTTATCAGACGAGACTCTTGTAATTCCACTCAATGAAATCGAAATAAATGAGAGCCTCAACTTCGTGGAAGAACCAGTAGAAATCCTAGACAAGGAGGTGAAGAGAACTAAACAAAGTCATACCCCGATAGTGAATGTCCGGTGGAACACCAAACGAGGACCTGAATTCACCTGGGAACGAGAAGACCAGATGAAACAAAAGTACCCACATCTTTTTCCTAGTTTATGAATGTTCACTTTGAAAGAAATTTCAGGATGAAATTCCCTCTAACGGGGGGATAATGTCATAACTGGAAAAATTCTAGATCAATCAAGGTCTAAACTTCACCTATGTACTTGTAAATTCATAATGTAATACTCGAGGTCGACTATTGTAAATTATTTTGAAGTAATAAAAATAGAAATTAATTGAGATGAAAAGTAGCGTAAAAAATAAGTGTTAAATAAACTTGTTTGGGATGAATAAAGTGATAGAGATCGTAACAAGGATTTCAAAAATATAAAGAACGCCCAAATCCGAGTTATAACGAAGAAGTTATGACCTATCGAATATCCGCGACAAAACCGGCAAAACACTGTAGTGTAAAATGTGAGTTTACAATAAAATACTTTTTAGTCTTAGGTATCTAAATAAAAGTTGTAGTATACGTTAAACCGTGAACATACATAAAAAGAACGTACAAATCTGACTTCGTATGAAGCAATTATGATTTTTCTAAGATTCGACATAGCAGTAAACAGCCTGAAATTCAAAATAAAGATCGAGTGATTTTTAGCCGACACAATCTAAATGAGAATCGAAGGTCTCGTCAATATTAGTACAACGGTAAAAAGATAGACGAAAACGAACGTCAGATGAAGAAGTCATGAATTTTAACAGATTTTCCTGTCCCAGACTGTTGAAAATAATAATATTAAAAATAAAGTCAATATTAGCCGATAGAGTCTAAACGAAAGTGGTAGAGTATAATCTCACCTACGCTTGGATATAAAGAACGTCGAAAACGGAGCTCGTATGCGAAAGTTATGAATTTTTGAAGTTTTGGGCACAAAAACCTAGAACCTTCGCATATGCGAGGTCAGGGTTCGGCCACGTCGCCCATTCCTCACGAGATCGCCCCGTGTCCAACCAGATAAAGTGTCCGAAACGAAGGTCGAACAGGAATCCGACGCGTGTCCGGCGTTGTTGTGCGTCCGAAGTTCAACGCGTGCCTCCCTTCCGAGTCCCACGTGTGCCTTCCCCTTCGCATACGAGGCGACGTGTGTCGCATCTCCCCCTCTCTGGTCCGAGGCTTCGGCTCTCTCTCTCTCTATATATATATATATATATATATATATATATATATATATATACACATACCTGTGAGATCTCCCTGTTCCTTTACCATTTTCACACCATTTTTCACCATTTTTCACATATTTCACCCCCTTAAGCTTCCTTACAACCCCCCGAAGTCCCGGTAACATATCTAACACCCGAAGAACATCCCGAGGCACCAGAAGTCCACAAGAAAAGAGTCTTTCGGTTTCTAACTCAACCCTCGTAAAGCCTGATTGTCAGCAATAAAGTCTTTTCTAGCAACGAAGTGTTGTCCAAATCACACTACTATCAAGTGAGTTTATACCCCTATATTTTCATCATCCTTTTAATATTTTAAGGGGGAAATACAAGTAAAATACAAGGAAATCTTGTATAAACAACAAAATTATTCAAATAGTTTACGATTGTTATTTTTACTAAAATAAATATACTTCTTTACTAGTTCGGGATTTTATACAAAAACAAGCATAAAAACTATAATAGGTATAGTTTATGAGTCATGTATACTTATCAATACAGTTTATGAAATTTACATATTACTTATATATTCAGAATAACTTACGAAAATAAATATATAAAAATTATATTAAATATAATTTATGAAATATTTACAATTTATCTATTACAAAGATATTTTTCATCATTCTACACATAACAATCGATATAGCTTTGTGAGACATACTTCAAATACTTATTTAAGTATAAAACAAGTCCTGAAATTATAACCAGAGTGTCCTGGACGGAGAGCGTGTCACTTGTGTATAGATCTATACGGGACTGACAATCTCACACCTGAACTGTTCGCTACAGTTAGGCCGGTAGGCCTGAGGTGACAATTGTCGTACCAATTTTGACGCCTGAAGAACGTCGTGTTCAGGCCATCTTAGGTCATCAAGCATGGTTATAATAACTCACAATTTGGTATTGAATAATACTATTAGTGTATGAATAAGTAAATAACTTTACATGATTTTATTAAATAATAAAACTACTATACAATACTTTACAACACAATTGGTAAAGCTAAGTACTTACAATTTCAGAGAATTCATACAAGCACGATATGCAAGATATTATTCTATTACAAGTAAAAGATTCATTACATAGTTTTATGTGAATTAAAACTATATCATACTATTTCAGAACACAAATACATATACAACAGAAAATATAGGATTTTCTGGGTAAACATACTTACATTTTCAGGGAACAAATGATAGATTTATTTACAAAAATACTAATGAACTCACTAACTTAATTGTTGACGCTCTTTTCAAAACTACTTGTATTTTCAGAAAATCGATAAACAGGTATCCACAACTTTTAAGGAAGACAGAGTTTCATACAATCATGTCTTTTAATTATACTTTTTGGTGTCAAGTATACAATAATTGAACACGAATGTAAAGTTATATTTTATCAATGTAATGGATGTTGTACTTTGATTACTATTATGCAATGTTGTGATACTGTACATGAAGTCATCCACCTCCGAATGTTTCCGCAATTCTGGTTTGGGGGTGTGACATGTCGTGAGCATACAAGTCCATTTGGATGATGGTCATACGGGTGTTGTGTCGTGAACCTATAAGTCCAAGGGATGACAACGAAATCCCACAAGCCTAATGTAGATATGCATAATTGTTACAATGATATATGTGATATTTTGGGGAATTAACTAAGCTTTTTGTGCTTACGTTTAAAGTTACATATTTTTCAGGTTGTTATTTTGTTAAAGGGAAAGACATGACTTGACTGTACACACATATGAAGACATTATGTTTTTATATTCCGCAAACTCTGATTTTATATTTGACTTGGTTTTGATGTTGGAAACGATTTGGTACTTTATGTTTTATTGAAAATTATTTTTGGGTGTTTAGTTTCATTTTAAAAACGAAAATAATTGGTCGAAAATTTGGGAGGTTAGAGTTAACTTGGTAATCACTTTTAAGTATTTTTTATGAAATAAAATAAGAGGTTTTTATTTTATTAATAATCATTTTTTAATAAGTTGTATCCTTCGAATTTTTAAAAAATGCTTATAACTTATTTGAAAGTGTTTATTATACATGCAACCTAATTTACCAATTACCATTGTTCTAACTCTAAAAACCATATATATCACATCCTCGCTATTCTTTTCCTTTTAGTTTTCATGACTAACGACACATATACCAATTTACCATTTGGAAGAATAGAATACAGATCGTTTTATGTTTATTTTACTTCTAACTTATTTAAAAATGCTTATAAATTATACCTCAATCACATTCCTCTTGATGAAGCAATCCACAAGAACAAGTTATTTTGCTTCCATAGATGTCACTTGAAAGAATGGAACATAGAGAAAATAGAAAGAAAAAGTGTACAAGAGTCAATTTTTTTATTTTTAATGTCAAATTAGTTCTTAAACTTCAAAAGTTAGTAAGTATGACTATAAATGCGAGAATGATTAGCAGAACCCATTAATGATCTTTCTATGTAGTTGAGTGCGGAAGAAAAAAGGTCTTATAGATCACCTAGGTTAACCATCTGTGTTTTAAATTTGATTATTACTGACTTGATTACTGGTACTTAAAGAATCATAACCAAAATAAGAAGATAACAAATTGATAAAAATTAGTGAGGTACTTAATAGAATGTCCCATTTTTTGATGTTTTACACTTCGACCATAATAGAATGGCCCTATTGATCAAAATTAGGGAGGTTTCGAAACATAAAAAATGATTAGTTATGATACAGTAACATCAAAATGTGATATTTGGTGAAAAAATTGGTAATATTAGAAATTTTATAATTTTTTTTCAAAAATTGTTAGACAGAATTTTTGAGAAGACTCATACAGTGAGATAAAATACACATTATATATTTCTTGTATTGTATATCTACTGAAATCCCAAATGCCTATTAGGGAGGTACTTAATAGAATGGACATGTTGATCAAAATCAATGAGGTACTCTATAAATTTTTATAATTATTATTTCGAAACATAACAAATGGAAAGTAGATATGGGGGTGTTTGAGATTCCTTTTTACGGTGAAAAATCATTTTTGTAAAAGACATTTTTTCAAAAGATGTTGTTTAAAAAGTGTTTGAGATTCTTTTTGCTTTTTCGGCCTCAAAAGTTCAAAAAGATACAAAAAGTCACAGATGTGTGACTTTTGCAAATGCCAGTTTTTGTGTTTTGGTAAAAGTTGTTTTTAAAAGTACTTTATCGCTTACCAAACAACTTTTGGATTTTTCTAACTTTTTGGAAAAGTTAAAAGTCAAAAAGATGTTTTAAAAGAAAAAACAAACACCCCGTGATACAATAGCATCAAAATATGACATTGATGACATTAGGAATTTTATAATTGTCGAAAATTGGTAGATAATTTTTTTGAGAAATGACTCGTCAATGAGATAAAATACAGAACATATTTACTATTATATATTTACTGAAATCACAAATGTTCGTATTTATGTGTTTTTGCAAATGGCCAAAAAACTAGATTATTTTTGTATATCTTTCAAAATCATGCGACCATTTTTGTAAATATCCCTATTTTAAGGGTTACGAGGTGATAGCGTGAAGAAGTATGATGCTTAATAATGAAACTCTGAAACTTGAGTAAATATATAATATATAAAGGATTATAATTACTTCCTTAATCGATCCGAAGAACCGATAGAAAAGAGTCAACGGTACCTACCAACTCAAATCGATCCAAGGTAAAAGAACAAATTAAGGAATCCTATGGAGATGAAGTATAAGCTTGGAATGTAAAGAGCTAAAAAGGGTTTCTGCTAAAGTGTGATGTTTCTGGGGATCTGAGGTACGTTCCTCAAATTGATAAATTGATGAATTATAAGTTACCAAGAAAGAAATGGAAGTGTTGATGAAGTTTTTTTTTTTTTTTTTTTTTTTTGTAATTTATTGAGTAAATTTTATCAAATAGTTTAAAAAAATGTCGGCCAGGTATGTGAGAAACGTATTTTTGACCTAATTTAGTCAAAGTTGTGAAGTTTTTGAATTAGTGTAGTAGATGATCAAATTAAACAATCTGTGAAGTTAATATTCTGTTGTGTATGTTATAAATGAATGGAATTTGGAGGAAAATGACTAATGACGTGTGTATGTGTTGTGGATACAAAAAGAAAGTGAAACAGGGGGTTGGTCCTTTGTCGCGCTCCTGTGTGTTTGTTGAGCAAATCCAAGTATGCTTGCCCCAACTTGAATTTGTATATTGCTACACTTAAGCACCAAATACTTATGAAACTCATTATTAGTACATAACATTATAATTTGATCAAAGGTACTAGTCATTTACTGATTACCAATCGTGGTGTTTCAAATCGAGTCTGGTTAGTGATGAAAATACTCCTTTTGGTGTAAACATATGTAGAGGGTCTATCATAGGGACGTTTTGGTAATTTCAAGTTAACTTTCTAAATCAGATACAAGTTATAGGTGTTGGTGGAAATGCATAACTTCATAAAAATAAGCCTCCTGAAACCTATAATGTCCCAGTTGGATGTTTACACAATGGGAGTAAATAAATAGAGTTATACTTAATGATGATTACGAATGTGAATTTTAGTAGATGGTATGATTGTAAAAGTTGTAATATATTGACTTAGTGATTTTCTCTTTAAAGGTTATATGTCCTCTTGTCTTACGAGAGACAAATGTTGACATCAAATTATAAATGTGAACATATATCTTGCTCTCCAAAGAGAATTGAATCTAGGCACCCATGATACGAGTGTGAAGTTTCCTAGAGGATCAAAATGGTGAAGATGAAAATGGGACTGTTTAGGAAATCCAGATTTAAGTAACTTTGTTGTTTATTGATATTCCGCTAAACAAGAAATTATGTAGTAGGATATATTCAATTGACTCATGGGGTGTACTCTTAGCATGAACTGAAGAGGAGAGGGTATTTGTAAACAAAGTGGCCAACTTTATTCACACAATAGAAGGGAATCATTGGGATCTGAACTTTGAAAGAAACAAAATTAAATTATTGAGTTTAGAAAGGGAGTCTGCTAAATTTTTTTTCTTTTTTCTGGGAAACTTGCTCCTCGTCGTATAAGAAAAATAATATGTAGAATTAAAAGTAAATCATTAGTTTTTGTAATGTGATTCTGTAAAAACTAACTCACTTTACCTAAATCAGTTCATGTCTATCTTTAGAATTGTCACTTGTATTAGACTTCAAAGGAGTTTTTACGACCGAAAAATGAAAAAGTAAATGTAAGGACTAGTTATGAGATTTTCTACATGGTAACCTGTTACTTCAACTGTGAGCAGTTATGAGTTCTGAAAAGATTTTTCTACATGATATAACAGGTTTTACTGGAAATTAGTCACATCTCTCGGTATAAAGTTCATTTCATTGAGGTGCGCAAACCACATACATTCTATCTCAACAAATCAACAAATCCATGGCATCTTCATCATCTTCTCCTTCTGCTCCGGCATTTTCTTCTCAATCATGGAAGTACCATGTTTTTCTTAGCTTTAGAGGAGAAGATACTCGCAGGAATTTTGTAGATCTTCTCTAGTCAGCTCTTGAACAGCAAGGGATCTACACCTACAAGGACGAAGAAACACTTCCTCGAGGCAAATCGATCGGTCCATCTCTTATGAAAGCTATAGAAGAATCTCAGATTGCTGTCATCATATTCTCAGAGAACTATGCAGACTCTTCATGGTGCTTATATGAACTTGCATATATTATGAAATGCAAGGATACAAAAAGCCAAATCATTATCCCCATATTCTATGGCGTGGATCCCTCTGAAGTACGAAAACAAAAACGAAAATACGGAGAAGCATTTGCCAAACATGAGTTAGAGAACAAGAAGAAAGCTAAATCTTGGGGACAAGCAGTTACGGAGGACCTTTGGGGATGGCTCTTTAACCCCCGAGAACAGAACCGAAAATACAGAGAAGCATTTGCTAAACATGAGTTGGAGAACAAAACCAAGGTTGAGTCTTGGAGAAAAGCACTTGTGGATGCAAGTAACATTTCTGGATGGGAACCCAAGCACGTTGCCAACGGGTAATGTTCTTTTTTGTTTTTGTACTTTTTATGCCTAGAATATGCATGCTCTACAACTCACCGACACTTGTACCTTGTAAGCCTAATTAAAGTTATGATGGACTTCATTGACTTCTAAATCTAATTACTTACTTAACGCATCGCTCAAGCTACAACAAAAAATCTATCTTGTTTTGTTTTTTGCTATTTGAAACTATTCAATGTGTCCCAATATAGTTGTGATATTAACTTTACAAGTCCTATTTTGAGACTGAAATTTTGTCGAGCATTAAACATAGTAGTCTTTTGTCAATTCGAGTATGTGTTAATAATCCTTGTATATCCAATGTATAGGCATGAATCAAGGGTTATCAAAGAAATTGTTGACACAATTTCACATAGGTTGCAATTAGTACCTTCAAGTGCCAATAAGAATCTGGTCGGAATGGCGGCTCGGATGCAACGTTTGAAATTAGAGTTACAAATTGGGTCGGGAGGTGTGCGGATGATTGGAATATGGGGGGTTGGGGGTGGTGGTAAGACTACTCTTGCATCTTCTATTTATGATGAAATCTCTAGCAATTTCGATGGTTGTTGCTTTGTGAAAAATATCCGGGAGGAATCAAGCAAGAACGGTTTGGTAAGCTTGCAAAAAAAAATTATTTCTGGTGTTTTGAAACAAAAGGAAGTACAGGAATTAGAGAGAGTTGAGGAAGGAAGACGCATGATAATTGATAGATTATGCCATAGAAAGGTCATTATTGTTCTTGATGATGTCGATAAGCTTGACCAACTAGAAGCGTTAGCTGGATCACATGGATGGTTTGGTGAAGGAAGCCGAATAATAATCACAACTAGAGATGAGCATGTATTAAATGCAAACAGAGTCGATGTTAAGCACAATATTAGCTTGTTAAACAATGATGAAGCTATTAAGCTCTTTCGCAAGCACGCATGCCAGGATTACACATCCATGGAAGAATATGAGCACTTGCATTTCTGGTGGGCTTCCATTAGCACTTGCAGTTCTTGGTTCATTTCTGTGTGACAAAAACATTAATGAGTGGAGGAGTGCATTAGCCAGGCTGAAAGAGATTCCAAATGATAACATTGTGGAAACACTAAAAATCAGCTTTGATGGACTTACAAAGGTTGAGAGAGAGTTGTTCCTTGATATTGCATGTTTCTTTAGGGGGAGGGAGAAAGACGAGGCAATGGAGATACTTGAGGCTTGTGGTTTTCATCCAGTTATTGGAGTGAAGGTGTTGATACAAAAGCCTCTCATAACTATTTCAGAAGATGGACATTTTGATATGCATGATCTGGTGCAAGAAATGGGACACCACATTGTTAGAGGGGAACGCCCTAACAATCCTGAAAAACATACCAGAGTTTGGAAGGAGGAAGATGTTGCAAAAATATGTGATATAGATGCAACCTCGGTAATGTTTAAGCTAAGCTTTGCATGATATATTATGTATGTATAAACAAATATTTTTGAATCAATCCCGACACTATTTTGTTCCTCTATCACAGGAACTTGACAAGATCGAAGCAATTATAATGGTTTTCCGGTTTCAGCCAGCAAAAAAACAAGCACAATATCTCCCTTCGGTTGCTGCAAACATGAAGAACCTTTGGTATATGGAATCGTTTGGTGATCCTGCTAAATCATTGTTTAATGACATTCCACTAAGGGAGCTTTGTTGTCTTATATTGTTCTCGGGTTCGCAAAACCAACTTTGGGAGGGTTGTAAGGTAATTCTTATTGTTTGTCACTTTATTTAATTAACAGATGAAAACAAAGTTGATGATGAATAATCTGATGTTGATGTTTATCACTTCTGTGACTGTCCTTGGTCTTAATAATTATAAAATATTCAAAATATAACTTGTTTATTAACATATTAGTCATTGTAATCCATGGTATTTATGTAAATACCCATCCTCCATCTAAATATCCTTTTGTCTTAACATAGATACAAATTTCCCTTTGTTTTTCAAAAATAAATTCTATGTTACTATTTAGGTGAAATTTCAATCTATTTTTTGTTGATTATAGATATTTTCTTAACCAGTTAAATACTTCAGATGATTTCCCTTTGCGGATGGAAGGAACTTGTATTTTTGTCTGATTATTATCTCACATATAAATAGTGTATAGCTGTGTTTGTCTGATTGTGTGCGTGCCATTTTCCTCAAAACCTTATCACCTTGATACATTTTTTACTTGTTTGCACTTGTACTCAACAGGTGCTCCCAAGTTTGAAGTTATTGAGAATTTGTGATATGTATAACCTAATCATGACACCAGATTTTAATGGACTTCCAAATCTTAAAAGATTCATTCTTCATGAATGCCCGTGTTTAGAAGAAATTCATCCATCAATTGGCTACTTGGAAAAACTTGTTTTCTTATCTATAGAACAATGTGGGGGTCTTGATATGTTTCCACCCATTATGGGATTAAAGAAACTCAAGACCCTTTCATTCAAAGGGCACCTCAAATTTGTTAAGTTTCCAAAGATCCAACAAAAGAAGATGGAGAATTTACCACATCTTAATTTGGATAATAGTGGCGATCATGAGGTTGCATCCTATGTAGAATTGTGTTCAAAGTTTTTTGCTAATTGTTGGAGGTGTGGTTGCAGCAATCTTCCTGATGTAGAATGTTGTGTACAGGAGCCTTGTTTATGTCGATTAGGGTTTTTTCACAACTTGCAAGAACTTCGCTTCTTAAGGAAGTTGGATCTCTGCTGGAGCAATTTGGGAGATGAAGACATAGGCTCTGATGTTTTAGAGTTTCCCAACTTACAAGAACTCAATCTATACGGAAATAAGTTTTCACAGCTAAGTTTTAGTTGCTTGCAATTTCCTCGGCTCAAATGGCTCGACGTATCATACTGCAAAGAACTTGTAGAGCTGTCAGAGCTGCCACAAAGTATAGCTATTGTTATAGCGGATTATTGTGACTCACTTGAAAGCTTTGGAGATATTTCAAAACTGTAAGGTGCTGTTTGTTTTTCCAAAAAAACCTCTTCAAACCACTTTCTGCTGCGCAGCGCAGCAAACGCGCAGCACTTTCCCTCTCGCAGCAGTTTGTTTTTTGGAAGACTTCTGACTACAAAACCTCTGCGCGTGTGCTGCGTGGCACAGCACTTGACTTGCCTCTTCGAACCTCTTCAGTTTTCATTTTTTCCAAGTGTTGTTTTTTTAGAATTTTGGTATAACTTATTATTATTTTTTTTAACTTTTTTTTTTTTTAAACTCTGATTTTTTTTTAACTTTTATTTACGGATTCAATACAATTTTTTTTATAGTTTCCACAAATTTTTTTAACTTGATTTTTTTTTAAAAAAAAACTTTGATCTTTTTAATTTTTTTACCGTTTCTGTTAAAAAAAAATTTACGAACTTTGTAGACATTGTTTGCAATATTTTCTTAATTTTTTTTTATTATTTTCTTTTTTATGTTTTTTAAAATTAGTTTTTTTAGAATAGAACTGTTAGCTTCTTTTAAATTTTTTATATAGTTTTATATTTTTGTTTTTTTACATGTTCTTTTTAGCATTCTTTCAATGTTTAAAAACTAGAATTATTAAAATTTCGGTGTTGAGAACTATTTTCAGTTTATAAAATTAGTTTATTTAAATTTCAGTTTACTGCAGCAGCCTACAGATGTTAAAAAACAAACATGCTTCTTATTATAGGCTGCAGCCGTTTGTTCCACCTCTTCTGCTACAGAGGATTGCTACAGAGGATTGCAGAGGTGGTCCGCAGACTTAATGAATTTTCGCTTCGAAAAAACAAACAGCACCTAAGTGGCTGTGGAAAGTCTCACTTCGAGGGGACAACAAAGTAGGTCCACTTGTTGGTGAGATATTACTAGACTCCATGCTCCAGGTTTTGCTCTACGTACCTTTTGAATTTCGATCTTTATCATAATAATTAACCCAAACATACTAATAAATGAATGTGTTTTCCATGGCAGGGGAATGCTATTGAAAATCATTTTATCAGTTTTAGTATTCTGCATCAGATTCCAAAGGGGTTTGCAGGCAGGTTCTTTAGGGGGAAAACATTTACAAAGCATCCTCCACATGCTAGTTGGAACCTATTTGATGACGACACGTTTAGACTGCGTCTTCCAGATGATTGGTGCAATGACTTTTGTGGGTTTTTAATACGTGTTGTTACCATTGTCAGACATCTGGATATAAATGTAATCATCAAGCAGGATACAGATGAAGAAGATTCTCGGTTTGAGATTTGGCAAGAGTATAATGAAACGTCAGAGCCTGTATATGATGGAGAAGTGAGGACACACGTGAGATATGTTTCCTTTTGTTCTTTGAGGCGGACTACATCACTGAATTCATCATACAATATTATTTCATTTTCCATAAAGAGCAATTGGACTATGTTTGCAGCTGAGCTTGTTCCTAGAAAAAGTAAGGATGATCCCATGCAAACAACAAAAGTTTCAACAGATTCCTCAGAATTTTGGGATGAGGAAAATGATGAATATAAGGCATTTATGATCCAAGATGATTCAAAGTCTTGTATCAATATTATATGGCAATATAACATCTAACAAAACCCATACACAAATAGATATCTCGACTCTTTGCCAGTTTGTATAGTCCGCACTCTGAACTTATGTTTGTGATTACACTGCAATATACATTGAGACATAAAATTGCAAATGGAGAACAAATATCCTGAAGATGATTGCATATCACACTAAAAACTCTTGATTTGATACCATAAAATATTTTGAGTATTGAAAGAGAATGATTTGTATATAATCTTTAGCTAATTCATATAACTACACTTTGTATTTATAAAGGAAAGCACCACTTCTATTTCATGACAGGGTCTGAGTTCACATATGTACCCTAGGGTTTATTTGCCAAATTGTAAACTTTTATTCCTTCAATCGAAACTCAAATAAAAAAGAAATACAAAGGGTTCTTGGCTTTTGAAAGGCCAAGTTGTTGGTGATTTGTTTCACTAATTGTATTGAAGTGTAATGGATTGACTTGTTGACCAAAATAAATCTTGATGAATATGAAACAAGTAAGGAAGGTGCGGAGTGCAAACTTGTTTAAGTTTATTGACGATTAAAAGTAGACTGTCATTTAGGGTGAAGCCGCTGAACGAACGGGGGTCCGGGGGGCAGGGCCCCCGGGAGCGCGGTCCAAAGGTCGGCAGCCCTTGGCGGGGTCCAAGGGGCAGAGCCCCTGGCAGCCTTTGGTATTGATCAAAGTGAAGTTGATAATGTTGGATAAGGTGTCTAAGTCCATAACTTATTTGGTATATACTTGACCCGACCCGACATGGTCCATTTGGGTTGCACTTCACCCGAACTATTTATATGGATAACATTATGAGAAGAGTATATTTGCGGCCTACTAATATATTATAAGTTATAATATATTAATATGAAATTGTATTATTTAATTAATATTGATCTTAAATTAATTATGAATTAATTTAGTGATCATAAGGTGACTAATTAAATAATGGGCTATTGTACTTATATAGTGTGGGCTAACACTCATTAGGGAATGGGCTAAGCTTAAATGGGAGTCCATGGATGATCCATGGAGCTTTTAACCCATGGATCCTTGGAATAGGAAAAGACATGGGTTATTAGGGTTTGCATGGTTCATCACCCTAATCATCTACACTATATAAAGAGGCTTATGGTGCTTGAGAAGAGACTATGTGTGTGTGCATAAGAGTGGCCGAATTTCTAGAGTGATTGGACACTCTCTCATAAGTTTTCCAAGTTTGTGGTGATTTGTGATTTCCATTTGAGGCATTCACATTATTGGTGCTTGGCTCTCAAACTCCCAAGGAATCAACTCACTAACAAAAGGTATGTAATTCTTCTAGTATCTTTTATGTTTAAAAGTACCCCATGTATGCTAGATAGGTTATGAACCTTGGAAAATTATTTTGCATGTATTTTAGACAAACATAGATCCAAGGTTTCTAGGGTTGCATGAACACCTTAGGAGTGTTAGTTTGCTCAAAACCCAACAGTGGTATCAGAGCCTAGGCTTGTTTGTTTGATACTTGATGCAAACTTGTTGAAAAACTCAAGTTTTCTACATTCTGCAGCATGAACTCGCCAAGTCCATGGGGGGACTCGCCGAGTTCATGAGTAAATTCATCCTACTCGTCGAGTAGGTTCGTGCACTCGACGAGTAGGAGCCTCAGAATGCTGATTTTCGAGTTTTGCTGCTGGAAATGGACTAGAAATACCCTAAACTGTTTGGTGTTATAAAACCTGTTTTAGATGGTGTAATGTTTATGCTAATCCATTTACAATGGCTTATATCAAAATTGCATGATGATATGTGTTCATATGTTCTTGGAAATTTTGATATGATGTTCATGTTCTTATGAATTATTGTTAGATCATAGGAATTATTTGCTAAATTGTTTATTGATAATTCTTGATCATTTATGTGTTTTAATGGAGTCCATAATTTGTCCTCAAGTTATGGATTTCCAAAGGTCACTTTCATTTATGCACACTTAAAACACATAAGTTACATGAAAATGAAGAGTCTTCATTTTATGAACCTTTAATTCATAAGTTATGAAATGAAAAGTTTTGAATAGTTTCAAAACTTGTCCTCAAGTTTTGGAATTTGTAAAGTTACACACACTTTAATATACTTTAATTCCAAACCCTTAGAGTTTTAAAAGTTAAAATTCAACCCTTATACTATTTATAACATTAATGGTTAATTATTATATATATGTATAAGATTAAGTCGTTTTACCGTTAGTAGGCCTCATTCACGAAGCCGGTCTATAAGGGGGTATAAGGTTGTTGCCTATAAAATGGCAACTTAATGGGTGTCCATTCTCACCCACCGCTTCCTTGATCGGTGGAGGGTCGTTAGCCGAACGGGTAGGACAATGACTTTAAATTCTCATTAAAAGTATGATGAGTATTATAAAGTCCTAAACCTTTAATAAATTCCCAATCTTAGTTACTTTAGGAAAATGTGAATATGGTGCTAACCCATGAAATTCACACTTTGTACCTTACCAAGTCGTTGGTGGAGCGTGTGTGGTTAACCGGCACACTAACTTGGACTAGTAAGGATCACGAAGGGTGACTTAATGTTTATCATAGATCGGTGGAGCGTGTGTGGTTAACCGGCACATTGATTAGGTGATAATATTAAGGGTACCAAGTGAATTTGCATGGTTATTCACACCTTGTTTTGTGATCCTCGGCATCCCAGCCACAAAACTTGAAGGGCACAATCGAGATTGAAACATGCCATTGAAAAGTTCAATGAATCTCAAAAGAATCTAGGAATTTCAAAACCAATTAAACCTAATAATTCATTTCGTTTTCATGGTGGAAATTGGTGAATCGTCATTCACCTACCTTCAAATATGTTATAGCTTAGATTACGGCATCCCTCTTCTAAGTTATAATATATTGTGTTGGATCCTAGCCTTAATATTACATTTGGGTGTATTATTAAGGATTCGATATATCTAATCTAAACTTGTTTTCTTCTTTTCAGATGTCTTCCAACAACAAAGCTTCGGGCTCTAACCCTACTGGCTCCTTTTCCCTCATGAACCTTTGTGGGAGGGTCATCTTTGATGGTTCCAACTTCATGGATTGGATTCGGAACATCAGGATGGTCACTCGTTACGAGGACAAGGAATATGTCCTCGATAAGGAGCTAAAGGAGCTTGATGAGTCCACTGCTACTCCTGAGGAGGTCGCTGAGTATCAGGCACATGAAAGAGATGCCACCAAGGTGGCATGCATCATGATGGCCACCATGACAGCTGAACTCCAAAAGACCTATGAGGACTATTACCCTTTTGAGATGCATCAGGATCTGATGGAAAGGTACCATCAGAGTGCTCGTCAAGAGCGGTATGAAATAATCTCCTCCATGATCACTACCCGTATGAAGGATAGCGAACCAATCACGAGCCACATGCAGAAAATGCAAAGGTATGTGGACCGTCTAATGAAACTGAATGTGAACTTCCCTGAGGAGTTGGCAATTGATATCATTTTGCACTCCTTGCCCTCGCGTTATGATCAATTTCATATGACATACCACATGAACAAGGAGGAAGTCACACTCAGTAAGCTTTAAGGACTTCTGAAGACTGCCGAAAGTGGTCTTAAGAGTAAGTCGGTTACTACTCCTACTCCTACTACTACCCTGTTTTGGCTATCGGGCAAGGCAAAGGGAAGAAGAGGAAGCACCCTTCGAAGGGTACCAAGGGAAAGTCCCTTGAAGGCTCCTCATCTGGAACCAAAGGTGGTTCTATCACTCCTTCTTCCATCCCTAAGGATGCTGAATGCTTCTACTGTCAAAATAAGGGGCACTGGAAGCGAAACTGCCCAAAGTACTTGCAGGATGTCAAGGATGGGAAAGTGAAACCATCCCATGCAGGTATTTACACTATATTGTCTAATAACTCACCATATTCTAATTCTTGGGTTCTTGATACAGGTTGTGGTATTCACATCTGTTGTGACTGCAGGGCCTAAGAAGAAGTGAGGATGTGGAGCACGGAAAGATAAACTTAATCATGGGGAACAAGAAGGTTGCACCTGTTGCCAAGATTGGAGTTTATACTTTGTTGCTAGATAGTGGGTTAAAGTTAGATTTGAATAAATGTGTGTACTCGTCTGAAATGGCGAGGAATATTATTTCCTTTCATGCTTTGTACAAACAAGGTTTTACCTTTTCTTTTGATAATGAAGTTGGTAGTATTAATGCTTTCTTTAATAATGTTCTTTATTTTAAAGCATTACCTTGTGATGGTGTGTATGAAGCTGTATCGGTTGTAGATAATTTAGGAAATAATGTATTATGTATTGATTCTTCTACTAGCTTGGATAAAGCATCTTTGTGGCATTGTCGTCTTGGACATGTAAGCAAGAAACGCATAGGCCAGCTCCAAAAGGATGGAGTCTTGGAGTCGTTCGACCTCAAGTCGGATGATAGTTGTGAGTCTTGTCTACTTGGAAAAATGACAAAATCACCCTTCACTGGTACTTGTGCAAGGGGTGAGGGTTTGTTGGACCTTATACATACTGATGTATGTGGACCATTCAAAACCGCCACAAGGGATGCTAATCGCTATTATGTGACTTTTATTGATGATTTTAGTAGATATGGTTATGTCTACTTAATCAAACATAAGTCAGAAACTTTTGAAAGGTTTAAAGAGTTTAAACAGGAAGTAGAAAATCAATTGGGCAGGAACATTAAGATGCTTCGATCCGATCGAGGTGGTGAGTATCTTAGTACTGAGTTCCTCGACTATCTTAAGGAGTGTGGGATTGTCTCACAATTGACACCTCCCAGGACACCACAGCTGAATGGTGTAGCTGAGAGGCGTAATCGAACTTGTTGGACATGGTTCGCTCTATGATGAGTCGAGCTTCGCTACCAATCTCTTTTTGGGGGTATGCCTTAGAGACTGCCGCCCACATCCTTAATCTAGTCCCTACAAAGAAGGTTGCCAAAACACCTCATGAAATGTGGACTGGGAAAGTTCCCAATTTGGACCATATCAAGATTTGGGGTTGCGAGGCTTTCGTGAGGCGCGAGACTCATGACAAGCTCAAACCTCGAAGTGAAAGGTGTATTTTCATCGGCTACCCACAAAAATCCTTTGGTTAC